CTTTTTCTGCTTATGTGGTGCTGAGGAATCAAACCCAGGGCCTCATGCATGCAAGGCAAGCACTCTACCACTGAGCCACCTTCCCAGCCCCCTAAGCTTCTTTTGCTCAAGGCTAGTACTCTACCAATTGACCACAGCACCACTCCTGGCCTTTTCTGTTTATGCTGAGAAATCAAAACCAGGACTTCATGCACGCTAGGCTAGCACATTCCCAGCCCAGAAGGCAGATATTTTGCAAGTCCTTAGGTACCAATGGACCTAGGCCTCCCTTATGTGCCCATCCCCCCAAATCCTCCTTTACTTTATGCCCCAATACCTTAGCAGAGGCTTTGCCCAATTCATCTACGATGGTCATTATTTGCTGCTGCAGATCAACACTGTAGAGACAAAGAGTCAGACATTCACTGAATTAGTGGTCCCTGGTCAGTCATTCCTGGGACTGGGCTACAGCTTCAACACAGGTTCAACGTTTAAGGCCCTTCTGCCTTAGCTTGAGAGTCTTCCAAATGCAATCCCACCCTCTGGAACCCAAACATTTGCTAGAGCTTTCAAGATGGTCCCCTCCCTTCTCCCTAGTTAAGATTACTAAGAAGCAGTGAGGTCAATCACAGACTGTTAACGACCAGATAGGACACAAAGGGTAAAAAAGGTCACAGATTTAAGAACGGATCTAGTCCATTAGGTTTAAGGTCAAAAGTCATCAAAAGGGCGGAGCCGGGACCTCAAAAGGAAAGGCTAGTAATCTGTGAGAAGGGGGCGTGGTGCCTGGACCCGGCTCAGAGGGAAACCGGGAGGGAAGGGCCATGGGGCGGGCTTGAGGTGTCACCGGGCCGGCGTTGTGGTTCCGGGTCGGCGGGCCGGGGGCCGCAGGTGCTGGTCCAGCACCGTGATCCGCTCCGGGAGCAGCGCGTCCACATCAAACGGGAACTCCATGGCCCATTGTGCGAGACGGGACCCGCCCGCACGAGATGTCACTTCCGCCCTGAGGCCCCGCCCCGCGCGCCTTTATTTCCAGGCGCGGGGGGGGCGGGGGCTCTGGGACCGCCCCCGGGCGGGCCGCCCTCCGCCCCCAAGCCCAGCAGGGAAGCGATCTCCGTGTCTCCAAACCAGCTGTACCTTCGCCAAGCAGCTCCAGTGATGCCAGCGCAACGCTTGTTTCCGGGGCCTAGTATTTCACTCCTAAGGCTCCTTTAGGTCCCCAGTGAGCAGCTGGGAACACGAACAGAGCTAGGGGGTTGAGGGGTAGAGGGAGGGGTCACAGAAGCCATCCAGCTAGGTTGGTGCACCTGTCTCTGCCAGGTGTGATCCAGAGCCACAAGAAGCGCTAGTTTAAGTTAGACCCCTCCCCCTCCCCCCTGCCGCAGTGGATTTCTTATATAAAAAGTTAGCATCATTGAGCAACCCTGCCCCAGATACTATTTAATATGAAATGGCAAAGCAAAGCCAGAGGTTGGAGAAACAGTTTTATTGTGGAAATGCTAAGCAAGTCTGAAAGTGACAGTTGAAAGCACACATAGAGATCTGGGTTCCCATACACATCTACACTGCCCTCCCCCAACTTCAAATGGATTTGTCTCTTTAACAATTATTTTCTTTCTGTGTCTGTCACTGGCAAAAACGACATCATTTTCCAGGTAAATCCCACTGCATAATACTAGAAACTGGGGGCTGGGAAGGTAGCTCAGTGGTAGAGTGCTTGACTTGCATGCACGAGGCCCTCGGTTTGATTCCTCAGCACCACATAAGCAGAAAAAGCCGGAAGTGACGCTGTGGCTCAAGTGGTAGAGTGCTAGCCTTGAGCTGAAGAGCTGAGGAACAGCCTCCAGGCCCAGAGTTCAGAGCCCATGACTGACTAAACAAAACAAAACAAAAAACTAGAAGCTATCTCCTAATTCTTCAGACCTCCCCTGTGCACAAATCCTATGGTGCATTCTGAGGGTCCTCTTTGGAGGCTTCAGCTTGTGGTTTGAGAGGCAATTCAGGCATTGATTCAGGTGGGGGGCCACTTTCTTCTTTGAGATTTCCCTGATAGAGCCTGCGAAGGCGGGACAGTTCTCTCTCTGGTGGCTGCTTCCAGCTGTACCATGGATACCAAGGCTCTCCTGAAACCAGGGTGGGAGCTGGTGGCGTGGCACTCACAGCTCCATGAGAGGTACTGAAGTCAAGGTCCCGGGGTTCAACCTGGGGAATGTGGTATCTGAGGAGACCTAGAGATTCAAAAGGAGAAATGAGCTAAGCACTGGTGGCTCACACTTTGTAATCCTGTCCTAAGGATCATGGTTTGAAGCCAGCTAAGTAGACAAATACGTGAGACTCTTCTGCAATTAACTAGCTAAAAACCAGAGGTAAGAGCTAGGGAGGTGACTCAGTGGTAGAGTGCTTGCCAGCATGCATGAAGCCCTGGGTTTGATTCCTTAGTACCACATAAACAGAAAAAGCTGGATGTGGTGCTGTGGCTCAAGTGGTAGAGTCTTAGCCTTGAGCAAAAGAAGCTCAGTGACAGCGCCCAGGCCCTGTGGTCAAGGCCCAGGACTGGCAAAAAAAAAGAAAGAAAAAAAAAAAAACACCAGAGGTGAAAAAAAAAAAAAAGCTAGGGGAATACTGGTTCTAAGTACTGCTCTTGTACAGACCAAAAAAAAAAAAAAACTAAATTAAAAAGAGAGAGAAATGAGCTGGGTGCTGGTGGCTCACGCCTGTAATCCTAGCTACTCAGCAAGCTGAGATTTGAGGATCGCAGTTCAAAGCCAGCTCAGGCAAGAAAGTTCATTAGATACTTATCTCCAATTAACCACTAGAAAACCAGAAGTAAAGCTGTAGCTCACAGCATTAGTCTTTAGCAAAAGGGCTCAGGGTTCAAGCCCTGAGGTTCAGGTGTGATGACCATCAACAACAACAAAAGAGAGAGAAATGAAGAATGAGGAGGAAATGGTAACCTCTGTGTTCATCACCTTTATATTAACATTAACATATTAATAAAACACAAAAAAGAGGGCTAGCGGACTAAGAAGGTGGCTCAGCGGTAGAGTGCTCACCTAGCACACATGAAGCCCTGGGTTCAATTCCTCAGCAACACATACACAGAAGAAGCCAAAGTGGCGCTGTGGCCCAAGTGGTAGAGCACTAGCCTTGAGCAAAAAGGAGGTCAGGGACAGTGCCCAGTCCCTAGCTACTCAGAAGGCTGAGATCTGAGGATCACTGTTCAGAGCCAGTTCAGGCAGTAAAGTCCATATGAGGCTTATCTCCAAATTAACCACCAGAAAAGTGGAAGTGGCACTGTGGCTCAAGTGGTAGAGTGCTAGCCTTGAGCTGAAGAGTTCAGGGACAGGGCTGCAGGCCCACAACCAACAACAAAAAAAGCTGGAAGTAGAGCTGTGGCTCAGTGGTAGAATACTAGCTATCCTTGAGCAAAAAAGCTCAGGGACAGTGCCCAGGCCCTGAGTTCAAGCCCAAGGATGAGGAGGAAAAAAAAAAACCAAAAAAGATTCAAGAGAAGAAACAGGGGGGCTGGGAAAGTGGCTCAGTGGTAGAGCGCTTGCCTTGCATGCATGAGGCCCTGGGTTCGATTCCTCAGCACCACATAAGCAAAAAGAAAAAA